CAACACCATGGTTGTCCTACACCCACCCTAGGCTGAGCCCACACTCTCCATACCTTCCCTAAACATCCAAAATATTTCCTTTTCAAAATAAAGTTTTCCTACTCCTATTTTAGGCCCTGGCCGAAAATAAGAGTGTGTAAACCACAACCTTTGTTTGTTGTTATTTTCTTTCTTTTAAACCTTTTAATAAACAAATAAAACCTTCTATCCTTTTCTATAAATCCCAGGCCAAATATCCCTCATTATCCCAACACAACATCAACCAAGATATTCCCCATTCTTATCCCCTTTATGTTCCCTACTAGGGCTGAATAAACAACCACAAAAAGCCAAGGGACATTTGAGTTGTTGTTGATACACCACCTACTAAATCAGTCACCTCATATGACCAAGAATATAAGGCCAATACACCATCCATCACCCATCTTTGTTTGTCCCCTCTTTTTAGCCAGAATATCCACCACAATCATCAAAGGATTTCATTCATTCTTTGTGATTTTTGCCTCCACAACAGGACAGACAAAGCCAGCTCCAAAGCCAAGACAAAGTCAAACAAAATCAGCCCTTATCAACTCAAGATTGGAAGCTAGTGAATGATAAAGGGATGTAGGAAGGTTCCTTGTATTTGCATTCATTATATTGTGTGTTTTCCCTCCTCTCCCCTCCTTATATATTTCGGCCATTTGGCCCTTGTAATGATCATCTCTGAATTATTAAAAAAACTCCTTTTACTCTTTGAGTATTTATAAAATAGATTGATGCTATTTTAGCCAAATTCCTAATTCTATATCTTAAGAGTAGTTATCTTAAGTGTGAGTTTTAGGTTCTAGATATTTGATTAAGTGTGTCATATTTTAATAAAATTCTAGATTCAAACCCCAAGTTAGGATAAGAGTGTGTAATATCTCTTAAACACCAACTTGGTTTATCCATCCCTGATTTTCTTCCATTTCATACCTCCCCATTTCTCCTCTTAATCTCACTCTTTTCTTCCATTAAAATACCCAAAAGAACTCCCTCATCAACTCCATATATTTCCAGTCCATTCCCCCACAAAAACACCCAAAAACACCCTTCTTCCTGCCCAGAAAATTGTCAAATAATCGATTATTGCTACTGTAAATCGATTATCCCCCCTCCCAGAACATCCCCACAAAACTGCCCAAGAACCTGAAGCCCTTAATAATCGATTATCCACTCAGGACAATCGATTATCTCCCCTTCCCTGCAAATAAAGAGGTTTTAACTATAAAACCCGGAGCTGAGATATAACATTTGGTATCAAAGCTTTGTGTTGAACATCCCTAAGGGATAATCTGCACACGCCTCCCTCATCTCTTTGTTACTGCCATAAAGATCAGCCTCAACACCATCTCTCTTTTCTCTTCCTTCTTTGGTATTTTTGGCCAAAGAGAGCCCTAAAAACCACCCATCATTTCTTACCATTCTAGCTACTGCCCCATTCTCTTCCTCTTCTTTCACACCCTTCAAGATGTCAAACACCTCTGTAATCATCACCAATGAAGAGCTGTGGGCCTCGAATACAGAACTTAAGACCCAAGTGGAGTACTTGGCTAAGCAGATTGCTCAACTCACCAAATTCAAAATGAATATGATGAATACCCCTGAAGAAAGTGAAGATGAGCAAGAGGAAGACGTCCAATCAAGAGTTCCTTCTCCCACCATGAGGAGAAACAACCAAGAGAAGTCCCCCTCTGACTTCAAGGTCGAAATGCCAACCTTTGATGGAAAAGATGACCCGGATGATTTCATCGAATGGTTAGAGACGATTGAACGCGTCTTTGACTATACCGAAGTGCCGGAGGACAAGAAGGTCAAGCTTGTGGCTTTAAAATTCAGAGGCTACGCATCTACGTGGTGGACTAACACTACCACCAAGCGCAAAAGAGAAGGCAAAGCTGTTGTTCAAACATGGACCAAGATGAGGGCTTTATTGAAGAAGAAGTTCATTCCCACTCATTATATAAGGGAAAACTTTGCTAGGCTTCAACACCTAAGGCAAGGAAATCAATCCGTAGAAGAATACAATCGAGAGTTTGAAGAACTCTTGATGCGGTGTGATCTCTAAGAGAATGACTCACAAACCTTTGTGAGATATCTCTTTGGCCTAAACACCCAAATCACCGACACGGTGGAGCTGCAAACCTTTGAGAACCTTGAAGAGCTAACCAAGTTAGCACTTAAGGTGGAAGCCCAACTCAAGAAGGGCAAATCTTCTTTGAGCCATGGCAATTCTTCCTACCCTAGTACATCAAATTCCACCCCCCTTAGTTGGTTCCACCTCATGTACAACTATGCTAGTGGGGACTTGGCTAGGAAGAGATTCAGGTAACATCACCACAGTAGCCCTATCGAGAGTTGTTATGCTCTCGGGTTTCTGTGATGGTGCGGAATTAGGTGAATCTTCTAGAACTGGGACCTTTTGGTTGATGGGTTCAGGGTTGGTCTTGGGTTCTAGAGCCTCTTTTTGAACATTAATCTTCCTCATTTGATCTTGAGATTGGAGGGAGCGTTTAAGTTCAACAGCCTTACAAAGATCATTGACTAGTTTATCAGCTTTAGGTTCGGCTTCTAGTCTCTCTCTTTGGAAGTCATCTAGCATTTTCTGCATCATATCTGATCCTTCGCATAATCTCCTTTCGAACTCCTTTTCCTTCTGGACTGATTCAAGAAGTTTTGCTCTTTCTCGAATCGCCACCTTGTTTGCTTCAATTTGTTCTTACGCAAACAAGGTGTAGTCACGGGAGTATGGTGGTTCGTACCACGAGCCTTCACGAATAAAAGTTCGTCGAAATAGAAGATTTTCTGTTCTAATCTTAGGATTTCTTCGACGAGTGGATCAGGTTGATCGTCGCACATAGGCCCAAATTGGTCATAGTCATATTGGTCACCATGAGGTTCATAATAATTATCCCCATTAGAATCTTGGTATGGAGAATATCCAAAGTTTCTAGACGGGGTATCATATGGTGGTTCTTCATGGTAGGGATAGTAGTCAGACCCATTGTTGACTTGGTAGTCAACATCATATGGGTTCTGATGCGGGTGATAGGTTTGGTGGGTTTGGTACGGAGGGCGGTTGGGTGATTGGTAGTAAGAAGGCGGGCCGTAATAACCACTGGAGTTGTCCATAATAATTATTACGGGTGGTTGGTGAAAAAGAAGTGAGAAGATCGTTCTAACCAATCTTCACCCAAGCTAATTAGAAGAAATTAAACTAATGCTGTGCCACTCCCCGGCAACGGCGCCATTTGACAGTTGAAGTTTTTTGGGTAGTAAACCTTGTTGTATTTAGGTGCCCTAGCGGCAATCAAATACCTATGTAACTGTACACTTTATCATGAATGAAAGGCTTTGAAGTATGTTTTATATCTCGTGTAACATAACATAGCTTCAGTCCAT